CGGTCCGGCCCCTTCCCTTCAAAGGTTGGCAGAAGTCACGTGTTTTTCCGCAATGTGCCTGTAAAGGAGTTCCTCAAGACAAGTCACCTTAGCCTCTCTTCTTCCTGCAGAAGGCTAGAAGAGAAGGGAGCTCGCACCGCGAGTTTGCGCCCCCCCGATTGTATGGGCAGCCAGCGCGCGTGCACCTCTTTCTCTCTAGCTTTAGATCTGCATTTCCCTTCTTCCGGGCATGAGGGACGAGTTAAGTCCCCGGGCTCAACGTCTTCTCAAGGGCGTTGAGGGAAGGTGAAAGCCAGATGCAAGAAGACCCGTCAGATAAACTAGACATGTGAAGACCATCAGCAGTGGTTCCATCTTACTGCAGACACATGCTTGGTTTTGAGCGGGACGTTCCCGCACATAGGCAGAACTAATGGTGTTAGATCTCGATAGAAAACGATGTCTGCTGCACGGTCCACGTCGGGTCAAAGCCGGCAGACTGCAGGCATCGATTTCGACGCTGCAACATAGGGCAGACATCCAGGCATATTGTACGCATCCCTCTTGCTTGCTTGCTTGCTCAGGGGTTTAGGGGCTGCACGCAACCCCTTGGCCCGAAGGCCTACCCCCTCGCGGCGCGCGAGATCCATGGTCAGTTCGGCCCATTCCGGGGATTGGTGAGTACGATCCCCTGAGTGCCAAACAATTTGGCCCTTGCTTGCACTCAGCCAAGGAGGGTCTCCCCTCCCCCGCGCGCGCGCACTGGTCTTAGTCCGAAGTAGTGAAACCCCCTTTGTTGGAGAGATGCACTGGCCAGCTCCGGTCGACCCCCAACCCTTTACACTATCCTACAAACCCCCCGGCCTCGTGCCTCGTCCACAAAGGGTCTGGTCTGCTACGCGCCGTGCCCAAAAGCGCCGGTCTACCGTTTTGGTTCCGGTCACAGGCTGCGCTTCGTGCTTCGGCCCCCCTTCCCAACAGCACTCAACACGCCACCACGCATACTGGGGTTTCGGCTCCCCTTTGAAGCAAGGATCTCCCATACTTAGATATCTGGGTGCCAGAAACCCCCTTTGTTCATCATAGCATGCCGCATGCATACGCCTACGCTGGTGGCTGCTCTGCCTCACTAGTGCTTGCGGACCCCCCTCGATCCCCCTCGCAGTCATCGTCTGGCTCGTCGAGCGCCGTGTCCCCACCACGTTGGGCTTCCATTTCCGCTTCTTGCTGGCGTTCCATTTCTTCCATGATGGCCACCAGCTCTTCATCAGGCGGTCCCCAGTCGGAGGGCGGCGTTGGGCCCGGCTGGGATTCGTCAGTTTCCCCCGGGATGCTTCCGCTCCACTGTTCTGCATAAGGTGGTGGCACCCACGGTACTGTAGCCATTTGCGACTCTTGCAGTGTCGCTTCTCTGGCTTCTGGCCGCACTTCTGTGAAGAGCGACGCTGCTGGTCCCCCGTCTCCTTCTTCAGTTGTCTGCGTGTCGATGGCGATGGGAGTCTCCATGTTCGCTGTGACCACCCCCACAGCTGCACGCACTATGGGCGCCCCCTCGGTCAGGAACGGCAGCAGGCCCCTGACGTCCCTGAGGATGTCCCGCATTTGTGCCATCGGTTCCCCTTGGCGGACCGCTGGTCTTTCCACCGCTCCCTCGTTGAGCGCGGCGACGTCTGCTGGGTGTGCAAACTGGAGCCCTTCAAGTTCTTGCAGTAGTTCTTCAGCTTCACGTAGAAGGGCTCCCAGGGTTTGCCCCCAGCTCTGCGAGAGCCACTCGAAGTCGCTGTTGATTGTTGCCAGTGCAGCGCCAATGGCCCCCTCTACTTGCCGGAGCCCTTCGAAGGAGGAGCTGACCTGCATGGCTTCCCCCCTGGTGTTGCGTCATGGCATCCAGGGCGTGTATGGCTCGCACTATGTCCTTGTCGACGGCTTCCAGATCTGCACGGACTTGGTGTGTATTGATGCCGTTCTCCCCGTCACTTCCACGCATGGCATGGCTGAACAGTTCTTGCCCGGTGCTGTAGACGCGCGGGTCTCCAGGGCGTCCAGGGCGTCCTCGACTTGGTGCCGGACGGCGTTCCCCCACGGCACGCTATCGAGCGTGTAGGAGAGCAGCTGTCGCAACCAGAGTCTCGTCATTGCCACTTCGGTCAGCAGGTGCCCCCGTGGAGGTGCTTGCAGCAAGGGCTCGCCATGGCTGCCTCGGTGGTGCAGTTGGGCTTGGTGCTGGAGTGCTTGCTGCGACTGCGCTGGCTGCGGTGGTAGGAGGCGTATAGCCATCATTTCCCACTGTCCTGGGGGAAGGTTGAGCTGCGTGGCGGGGGCTCTCTGACAATGGCCAGCGCTTGCTGCTTTGGTCCCATTCTAGCGCGTAACCCGCCGGGTTACGTGGCCGCGGCATCTGCGTGCTGCCCCACCGCCGTGACCTGAAACAGCCAGCCCCCTCGCCGTGTTCACGGCCACCATGGCTTGCTGGATGCCAGCATAGCTGGCCTGCACTTGTGCTCCTGACTGGTCGGCCACAAGCAGGTTCAGGACTTCTTGTGCCCTGCGCACGTAGTGCTGGTTGACCCCGTCCTGTTGTATTCCTCTTCCCCTATATCGCACATGCGCATAGAAGCTATGCCCAGGTATCGAGGTACTTGCGGCGCTTGCGTGGCGGTTCTGGGCAATGTGCCCCCTCGCTCGTCTCTGCTGTCCCCGCTGCCAGCTCCGTCTCTGGTGTCGAGAAGGAGCAGCAGGTGCTCTGCAACGTCAATCGCCGCATGCTTGCCCCCCTTCATCTCCAGTACATCTCGTATCTGTCGTAGCCAGTGTCGGATCATGGCTGCCGTTGGGTCCAGGCGGGGCCTCCGCCAGGCTGCTGCCGTCGCGCGGCCTCTCGCTGTGACCCCATGGCTGACTTCGGCTTTTACGGCGGGGCTACTGCTGCTAGCCGGTTGCTGCATGTAGGATGCCTCGTCTGTGTCCTCTCTCTTCGGTGCGGGCGCCGGTGGTGTCCCTCCTCTGGGCGGTGTGCTTGCTTGTCGTGGGCTGTTGCTGCTCTCTCTGTGTGCTCCCCCCAGTCCCCGTGGTGTGGTTCGTCGCCACCCCCCTGTGGCTGTGTGCTGCCGGGTCTCCTGGGTAGTTGGGTGTGGGACGTGGTATGAGCCGCAACCTGATTGCTTCCCACTGGCCCGGGGGGTAGGTGGCTGGTGGCAGTGGGTCTTGCTGGTAGCCCCAGTCGAAGTAGTACTGGTTGGCTACTCGCGGCGGAAGCCGCCCCAACATCCAGCGTAATGTGGATCAGCCATTTGACCGGCCTGAATTGCCGGAGCTCCCCCAAGGAAACAGAGCGAACGCCACGTTGACGCCATGTGACTGGTAGTTCCGGTGGAAAGGTCCGTGGCAGTGGGCCGCCGGGCCGCCCCCTGCTGACAGGATGATCGTGTTGAACACCCCCTCCCACTTGGCTGGGTCATCCGCTGGTTGAGGCACTACTGGCGTCGGGCTGTTCCCTCTGCGTCGTCGTGGGTCGGTCGGTGGCTGCCCCCTTCTTGGCCTTTGCTGTGGTTGTGGTTGCTGGGGTTGGGGAGCTGTGGCTGTTGAGTGCTGGCTGCCCTGTGCGCTTGGCGGCGTGGTTCCCCCCAGCTGTGTGTTGCTGCTGGCGGCCGCGGCTGTGCTGCTGTGGGTTGTCCATAGTTGGCGCCCCCTGTTGAGGAGTTCTGACCAGTTGTCGGTCTGCTGCTTGCTCCCCCCTTGGTGTGTTGTGGCTGCGGTCGGGCTGCCCATGCGTGTGCTCCCCGTCGACCCTCGCGCGAGTACGCGCGCCCATTCCTCCTCGTCGTCTTCTTCTCTGAGGCCGACGTGGTGTGCCACTTCTCTCCACGTCTGTTCGTCGAGCTTGTGCCATCCTCGTTGTTGGTAGGCTTGCTGAACTGCTGCCTTGAATCTCTTACCTCTCATTCTCTGGTCGCCATGGCCTTCATGGTAGGGCCGGCTCTGGCTTGTCGGCCTCCTCCAACTCTGGGACCTCCCCCGCTGCAGTTGGTTGCTGTGGTTGCTGGGGTGTGGTGGTTGTGTCGCCCCGTTGTGGCGCTGCGTGGCCCCTGCCCCCGCCGGTGCCGTTTTCTGCGTGACCGGCTGCCGGGCTGCTGCTCTGCGTGGTGAGGCTTGCGGTGCGGTCGGTGGTGGTGGGCCCCCGTTGCTGGGCTTAGCTGTGGATGTATATCCTTGCCAGACGAGGGCCCCCACACCGAAGAGGAAACACAGGGCGCTGCTGGTGTTTGTTGTGTTCACAGTGTCGCTGTCACACGTGTCGTGTTTGAGCTGAGGCCGCGGCGCAACACAACAGAAACTGCACACGACTGCTGCGTCTCAGCGTTCGTGCTTCATTCCCCAAGCGGAGCCTTCCTCGCCCCCTGTTCCGTTGTGGTGCCGCCGGGTTAGGTGCCAGGTTGCCGATGCTGGCTTGTCGGCCTGTTTGTTGCCCAAGGCGTGTCGTACTGTTCCACAAATTCTGTTCCTAGCATGCCTCAAGGTTCGCTGCGACTCCATGCCAGTTCTCCCTCGCTACGCTCATCACCTTCCTCTCTGGGTCCACGAAGGCGTTGAATCGCCCCGCGTGCTGGTGCCGTTCCCTACGTGGGCGTTGCTGCTCCCTCCCCCACCATGCCATGTTCTTCCACATTAGCATGGGGCGTCCCCCAGGCTCTGCTCTGGCCATGTGGCCATAAATGTCCCACATGCGCTGCAGGGTGAATGTGCTCCAAGGGAGAACCTCTCTCTCTCTCTCTCTCTCTATCTCTCTCTTGCTTGCTTGCTGAGGGGTTGAGCTACTCGCGGCGGAAAGAGGTGTTCCCCCGAGTGCACAGTTCAACCCCCTGCCCACGACCAAGTGCTAAGACCGTGACCACTCAGAAAACCTGCCCTGATCACTCGGGTCATCCACACTCTTTCTTCATGGCTTACCTGCTCTGTCTCGCTCGCTCGCTCGCACTCTTCCTTCCTTCCGTCGAGGGTATACATCGCTTCGGGGCCCCCGCATGGATGCGCGGGAAGCGGCGCAGGAGCTGCTGGCAGAATCGTTCCACGAGCCGCAGATCGCAGAGTTCCAAGGGCCCACAGACCTCACAGCGTTTGCAAAAAGACCCAGACGGCTGAAGTGACGACTAGAGAATTTCATCTCGACTTCCACCAATGCTTAGAGCATCAGACACTGTGCAACTGCGCTGCCTCCAAGCGCTCGCGCCATTCGTGATAGTCTGGCTCCTTGGAGTAGCGCAAAGCGCCTCGGCAGGAGATGTCATCCGATCGATCCACCCAGTGGCAAGCCCATCCAATTGCGGTTCTGAGTCACAATCGCACGGAAATCGTGAGGTAGTAAGCACAAATGCTCCTGCACGTAGGAGCTTCAAGACCTTCACGAATGCCCAAGAACTGTGTCTGCAGGCAATCAGATCCCCTGCGAAGTCCAAGGATCCAATTGAAACTGGTGAACACCTGCATGTGACGGCATTGCAAAGTGCCGGGCTATTTGAAAGCCGATGCGGACACGTCCACCTGTGACCACCTGCAGCACGATTTGGTGCCCGCTACGATGTGACCCAAATGCAGCCGTGACTAGGTTGCAGTGCTACTGCCCCTGGCTACAAGCTGGACATCAAGAGATGCTGCCACGAGCTGTTGCATTAAAGCTTGCACTGCTGCCGGGCACTTCGTTGCTTAGAAGCACAGATTCCCGCCCCTCTTGCGATGCAGTCCGTCACAGTTCCATCCCGATTCGATCCCGAGCCTTTGCTCCCTGCTTGGTTGAAATACATTAGCACCCATGGAGCATGACCACAAGCCTTCGATCGGGTGGCGTTTCCTTCGTGCCGCAGTTTCCTGCCTGGCCCCTCGCTCGCCACGGATACCACATGCTGCGATCTTAAACAGGTCCAGAGCCAAGCCGTCACCAGCCACTCGACCGGAAAGTAGAAATGATGTTGCACCATGTCATAGGATCCATCCACACCGGTCCAATGTGAAAGGTCGATGCCCACGGTCACGGCACCCGTGCGGGTGCTACTCAATTGGTGAGTCCGAGTGCTCTGCTTTCTGTACGAATAAATGACACTGAGCTTTCCCAGTGAGCGCGACCCCTTCACATGCACTAGATGAAGGAGCCTTCGGCTGTTATTCCTTGCTTACTACACTGTTCATCCGCGGGTCCTGCACTGTCTTGGAAACAGCGAAACAAGCAAGCTTACATCTGGGGGTCAGGCACATACCATACCACGCATATCCGCGGTTTGCTGGCGCTTTTGCCAGTTATGTTCGGCACAGCGGGGACACAGCTGATGATAAAAGTGATGGTGTTCCAGATACTGACCTGGCATGGAGGGGTCTTGTCCACTTCACATCACCTTTCCTTGGCCCTGGAAGCACTCGAAATATTTGCAGCTCAAGCGCCTCTGCACATGTTGCAGTTGGAATAAAGGCTATCTGTCGGCACATTCAGCAGTCCTTATCTGGACGTCAGCTGTTCGGCTTCCTCGGTCTACCCTCTCAGCTACAAGTTGCACCTCTAGACTCTAGATGAAGTAGTGAAGGAACTCGATCCAGTGTTTAGCCTTTGTCCTTTCAAGTGCCTACATCCATCCATCCTTCCATTCTTCCAGTGAGTCATCCTTTCACTGAGTCATCCACCCTAGACAGATTTCTTGCAGACAGGCTGGCAGGTATGTGCGTGTACATATAGATAATGTATAAATAGATAGATACCAGATAAACAATACATGTATGTATGTGTATATATATATACACACGCACACATACATACGTACATGCATATGTATACATACATACATACATACATATATATATACATATATATGTACGGAAAGGGTTGACTTGCATAGTGCGTCTGCTCGCTGTCACTACATCACGAAGAAACATATATAATGCGTGATGCATGACATTGCTCAGTAAGGTCAGAACCTCAGTGTGGCACAGTCCTGGCGTCAGTGGGTTGTATGTGAATATCAGAGATATACTACATGTTTCAAAGGCCTGTGTGTTGCTATCCAAATACATATAAATAGATCACACATCTAAAAAAGTAAGAAAAATAGCTAGCTTAGCAGGCTGTATCCCGACTCACTCTCTTCTTGTCACTCGTGCTCGAATGCATCAGACGAGGTCTCGGGGAGACCTGCAGCATAGGGTGCAAACTCTACCATAGGCACATTGGCTTACGGCTTTCGGCGAAGCGATCCGAATACAACGTCTAACTTTTCACACATCTCCGCACACCATTCGACAACACGTGTAGCTTCCAGCTTCTGATCTGCCAACATTGCTCACAGAGCATCTAGCTTCATCTGTTGCATGCCAGATGTGCGCTGACCTCACCCGAGCCCAGATTCGAGGAAGCACAAAAAGCGCCCATCAGGAAGCCGAGAGGTCTCCCGCCAAGCACTTGCATCTCAAGCCCTTGCATCCCTCTTGTGACAACCACAAGGCTGTGTCAGAGTCTCTGTTTCTCGACCCTATCATGCCGCCCCTTGTGTAGGTCGTCACTCAAGTCATAATAGCGTGTTGAGTTACGCTCCACTGTAGGTCGTGACATGGGACTCACTCTCTACATCTACATCTACATCTACATCTACATCTATATCTATATCTATATCTATATAATAATATGCATTATGCATACATGCGCATTCTGAACTGATTCTAGGTACACCATGCAGCATATCTGGAGATCACTGCTGAAGAGGATCTGTGCACCTCTTCTTGAACAAGTCCCGCTTCGGCCGTCGTATCTTGGTCGAGAACATCTTCTCCGTCGCGCTTGTGTGGCCCAGCAGCTTGTTCTCCTGCCGCACAGCCTTCACACACGATGAAACTCATGGGCTTGACAATTGATTGGCTTGTTTTGCAAGGGTCCGGCAGGTCGCCGTTCGGGGGATCCTTCTTATGACAGACAGAACATGAGACAAAAAAACTGCTTGCATTCGAGAAGCTATCGGCAATGGCAAGGGAGTCCGGCAGTGCACTTTCGGCCTTTATCGCTGCCAGATCTGCTTTCCTTCGCATGTTCATCCCACATGTCTCTGCCTGCAAGCCGACGGTTGCTTCCGAGAACGAAGGTTCTTTATAAACGCCCCGTGTCGGGCAAAGTTGTAGTGTTGTGCAGGCACCACCGGTGATTGGAATCAATTATGTACTACACTCAACTGCGTGATCACAACCTGCCTTAACAACGGGCGCCTAAACCAGCCTTCAGCCAAAAAAACATCACAGGAGGCGGTCCACACATGGCAATTTCAAGCACCAATGCGCAACACAACAATCACCGACTTCCCCTCCAAGATGCTTATTACTTAACACACACAGGACATATGTCTTTCCAAGAAATTCTACATGTTGACCTTCATCAACCAATTCTATTCACCATTGCAAGCCTTTTGACGCCGTTTGTCATGCTCGTCTTTGACCACTCGGTGCAAGCGCTCGAGCTTGACTGTCCTTAGGTTCTGACGACCGAGTACAGGCAGAATCCAGCATCCAAAGGTGCAGGCTGGGTGAAAACCATATACGCCCGCCGAGTCTCATAACAAGGAATGATGTCAGATATCCGCATGAAAATGGCACACCAAAAAGCACCATGCGCGCAAGCCCTCTTTTGCATGGTGGATTGGTGTGGCTGCCGACTCCCGGAATGTTCCTTCGGTCGGGGACCTCCGCTTAGAGGAAGGCCGTTTCAAAGTACAGGAGGGTCCCCTCCTTCAGGGCCTAAGGCACCTGGAGATCGGGAACCCTCCTTGTACAGAAGTGAGAGTTCCAAAATTTTGTGCCGTCCAGAAAGAAGCCTGTACAGGAGGCAGCCACATCCTCACCGGGCGCCCTGCGCGGGCCCATGGGTGAGGTCAGATGGGTCGTCGAAAATACGATCTTCCAAGATAGAGCGAATGAGGGAAAAATGCTTGAGCACGGGTTCCACCGGCAAGCAGAGAGATGGAGTGAAACCTTGAAAGTTGGGATGAGTCAGATCATCAGCCCACGTGTTGAAGTCGCGCTTGACGTGGGAGGGAGCAAGCTGCATGCCATGCCGGTGCAGCTGGTACAAGATCTCCATGAGGATGACAGATGTTGGCATCCTCTTGGACTTATCGTTCAGGAGCGAGTACACGTTCCCCTGGTTGTCGCTGACCAGGGGGAGCCTGAGGTTCGGGATGAACGCAGGCGCCTTCTCCATGAGAAAGTGAGAGAGGATCAGAGTGCCGAACATCTCGAGGGCAGCAATGCGCTTTTTCGGGCAGCCCTTCTCAAAGGCCCATGGATGCCGCTCCGCGGTGACCTGGTAGTGGAACCAGAAGACTTCCGACTTGGACGGGGAGTCCATGTTGGAAAGCCAGCCGCCTACATAGGCGCTGCCATCATCCGAAGCGCTAGCATCACTTGCCCCTGACCAAATGGCAAGCGGGGCATACGGCGATGCCTGTCGGAACATCCGGTCAAAAAGAGAGAGGAGAAGACAAGAATGCCAATGACAAGCAGGTGCTTGTCTCGGGCCATCTGCACACAGGGCCCTTTTGGGTCAATGACAAAGCCAAGCCAAGTGTTGACCTCAGCTAGCAAGGTTTTCTTCCAGCTCAAAGGAGTGCCGAGGGCAAGCAACAGCAAGCAAATTGCCGTCGCCAAGAGGGGGGAGTTCGATTTACGGAGCAGGCCAGGCAAAGTCGTCGACAAAGACGAAACCCCAGTCAACCTCGGGAAACACGGCATACACAATCCTTAGGAGGATGGCAGCCATACGTCCCCAGTAGAGCTGGGCACTGGCCATCCCATAGGTGCCTACTGTGTTAACCCACCATTCCTCACCACTTGGTAGCGCCATTCTCGGATAAGAATCTTGATCCTCCTGTGTGCCTTAGTCACGTCAGCTTTGAGCAGGATCCACTCGTCATCAGAGCCAGGAAAGCACCAGGGTCGGCCGGAGCCGGCGCTGGAGTCTTCCTTTTCCGAGGGACTGTCCCGTTCCGGGCTTGCCGCACCAGGGGTGGTTTCACGAGACCCAGAGGCATCCGTGGTCTCCTGTTCCCCGGGCTCAGGGCCATAGGCACCTGGCTTCCCACGAGAACGTGATGCCCGAAGCCAATGTAGGCACTGGACGCAGTCCGTGACAGTCGGAGCAGTGGTTTTCTCCATTGTGTTCTGTTGGATACGGAGATTAGCACCTCCCTTGGAGCCATCAAAGATGGAACGGATCTTGTCCGACTCATCAATCCCCGCCATGGGGCAGGGGCAGAGCTCATCTTCCGTACACTGGCAGTGCGCTGCTGCTTCGGCACTCGTGCATGGTCCGATGACCATACCCAGTGGAGTTTCTTCCACGAAGGTAGCCCGAATCTCCTCCCTAAAGGTGTCAGCGGAGGAGTAGTTAGTATGGCCTGTGGGGGGTGGTGCTTCCACCGGGTCCCACTCTTCTCCAATGATCTCTGATTTCAGAGGCCAAACGCCCGGAGATTGGAGAGTAGGGGTGTCCACTCCCAGAGGGACCCCTTCCTTGAGTATCAGCGGGTACTCAGCATCGACATCTTGGATGTCGCACAGGAGTTTCCTGATAACATCCAAGTAAAAGGGCTGTCCTGCATCCGGTTGGGGGTGCTGAGGCATGATAAAATCCCGAATTTCCTTGAGAACAGAATCCGGGAAAGGGTGTTGCTTGGCACCCGCGGCCGTGGAGGCTAGGAAGGAGGGGACCAGGGGCCCGGCCTTTTCCCGGATGAACTTTCCCAGAGCAGGAGCCCTCGGTCCCGTGCGTAGGTGTGGGGGCATCCTACCGGGGGAGGTCTTACCACCTCCGTCCCTCAGAGGCCTAACCTTAAAACCATGGGCCACTCTCCCACTCTCATTGTGGCATCGTCTAAGGCAAGCTTTTCTGAAAGCGGTAGCGTCGAAGGCCGATCAGACCCAATCAGTGGGGCCGCAGCGAGCAAGTGATCGCCTGCATGGGTACCTGCACCAGGAGACCCAGCATCATGACGCTTCCCTCCCAGCAAGGTAGGGAGGGTTGAGCAGCCGCCCCGATGGGTGCTGACCCTTGAGCCGCCCAGCGAGGACGCTCCTGCCCCAGCGAGGGATCAGCGAGGAGTTTGGTGGCGGGCCCACTCGGCGAAGCCACCACCGGAGAGACCGTGTTCCGAAGCATTTCGGCCAACGCCGAGGCAATACTCTGTAGCATGGCTTCAGGTCGCCGGGCGTCCCCAGGCACGGGACTATCATGTTTAAGGTGATGGGTATGTGTGCAGGTCCTTCCCTCCCAGGATTGGAGGGGAAGGTTCGTGACCGCTCTAGAGGGACGACTAACAACCCATCCAAAGGAGGAAAGATCGAAATGAAGAACCTCAAGGCCTAGATCTAAGGTCCAAGCACGTAGGGCCGGAGTGGCCCAGGCCGAAGAGGAGCGTCTCTTGGCCGGGGAAATGGCTCCTCGAGCTGGATCCTCAGCCATCTCCAGGAAGCAAAAGACCTTAGGGGCAGCACGGGGCGAGGCCGCCTTGAAGGCGAGCCATGCAAGCAGAAGGAACCTAAGGAGCAGGGTGCTTTCCTCGTCCGCAGAGTGCAAAGTCTCCTGAGGAAGAGCGGCTATGCCCCAGGCATTCTCTGCGGAGCGGGCACGAACCGCATGGAAAGTACCCGAGTCCTGAAACCATCTATCTAAACCCCAGGTTTTGAGGTCCGGACATCCTCCCACAAAGGAGATGTGTCCTTGCAGCGCCGAAACACAGAGCGACCCGAACAGGGTGTCATTAAGGAGGTCCTTACCATCGGGTTTCCTAGAGGAATCAAAGGCCAGAACTCTCGAGGAGAGTTCCGGAGCTGGAGGATCGCTTCCAGAGATGAGGCATCATCCCGGCCCGCAAAGGGCAAAATGATGGCACCCTCAGGAATGCTGGCAGTGCACTCGGAAGGAGACCACTGGAGTCTCCGGACCAGTCGGTCGGGGACTCCTTTAAGCCATTCAGGAGAGTAGTGTGCAGTCAGGGTGCCCGGGTAATGCCTCTCAATCCAAAGCCCGAGAGAGAAGGGCTTGTCATCCGAGAGAGCACTACTGGAGGGCGGCAGACCCTCACAGTCGTCTGGGCTGTGCTCATTCGGAGGGGCATTGCACACCCAGCCATCCTTGGTGACAGGACAGTTGTGGGAACGTCCACGGTTGCCAGGACACTGCTTCTTGATGTGATAATCCCTGCAGAAGGGGGTGCCTTTCGGATTGTTCCTGGACCAATTCTGGGGCCAGGGATCCTTGCCCTTGCCCTTGGGCTGCCCTTCTTGCCTTCTTTGCCCTTGGTGGCTTGCTTGAGGAAGGGCTGGTACACCGACCAAGCTTGCTTCCCTTTCCAAGAGCCCTTCCCCTGCCACTTTGCAGGGGGGCTGCCTTTCTCACCTTTCGGAGTGCCCTTCGAACCCTTATCACCAGGCCGAGACACACGCTCGTAGACTTCCCTGGTCCAGAAGAGGGCATCCGCACGGACTTCCACCATGGCCTCCTTGAGCGACTTGCCCTCATAGACCAGATTGTGGATGGCTCTCCACGCATTCCGTTCGGCGTAAAGAAGAGTCTTTTCCGATGGAGCTGGGATTCGTCCCGCAATGTCCGGGCCCCAAAACCAGTCATACCAGTCATCCAGATCATGCTTCGAGGCATCGAACTGAGTGAACTGGGGAAAGGCCAGGAGACACATCGAAAGGTTGTTGCGGAACACACGGCGCATCCTCTCCAGATGTCGTCTGGTGGTTGGGAGCTTGCGTTCTTCTTCCTCCTCTTCTTTATCCCAACCGTCTACCGTCACTTTCCGCTTTGTTTTGAACGGCTTCTCTTCAAGCTCCGGCAGGGCACTGATGATGTATTTCGCATTGATGAAACCGAGTTCCCCTTTTGAGGAGAAGCGAAACTGCGCCTTGAGGAGGGTGTCACTCCCCTGGGCTTCGAGTTTGGGCTTCGGGAGCCCAGTCGCCTTAGTCCACTCCGTGAGGAGCTGGTGCCGGTCACACAGCACTTCCAGACCTGAGCGTTCTAAAGAGCCCTGGCCAGG